TGAGCTGATGTGATAAAAACTGATCAAAGCTGATGCTGCACTCTCGATCATCTGTGTGTCCATACAGGGGGTGAGGGAAAAGTCTTCACTCAGCAGAGTTACAGCCTACTGTATCACTCTCTCTCCACACAAACCAACAGTGACCTGTTAAAGGTGCAGTCAGCGTTTCTAATCCAAATTTAGCTAATATCTCATCCGTTTGTGTGTTCGCTGAAAAGTAATCAGGTGTTTGTACACAGTCTCTGTAAACTGTAAATGGGAAAACAAACAAAAGATTCTCTTACTGCATTGCCTATCTCTCGTTCGTTTAGTGTTTATCTGTAATACAAGAACATGTGTGACCAGACAAGCTGCCATTGTTTCCTGCTACGGACAAGTCACAACTGTGCAGCCAACTCGCAGTACGTGACCACCTCTGGCTCTGAAAACCGCCATGGCAACAGCTATAATGCCAAACTCGAGGCTTCAAAATAGTACTTATCAGCCATTATCCTGAGCAACCCAAACATCAGAACTTAAAACAACCCATTAAAAAACCAGTGTGACATCACAGATGGTACGGCCATCTTTTTTGTCAGTTTGAAATTCTATTGTGGACATCAGGCTGGCTGGTGAAACAGTAAAAGTGTCTAAAAAAAGTTAGCCGCTGAAGTCCTTTTTATACAGACTGTGAGAAAGTCCCGGTGGATTTTTCTGATTTTGTTACCACTTGTGCTGTGTTGTCAGTAAACGTTCAGATGGTAGTAGGTGGCTGCTGCCTCACCCTGTTCGCTCGTACTCTCTGTGCTCCTGCCATGACGAGCAGTTTGGCAGAACAACACTTCAACTGGTCTCACTTCTGTCAGACAAGACAAGCTGAAACACATCTTAGGATTCAAGGTGTGCCAGCGTGCAACACACACACATACACACTATTCTGATGATATTCCAGGAAATCTCCTAATTTCCCAGTAACATAGGTTCTCACCGCCAAGACTGATCGACTCCTGTCACAACGCAAATCAAAGGCTTAATGAGAGGAGATGAGTAGCTCTTTTAATAAAAAAAGTGGTACATGTCTACATCATGTTGCCCTACCCACTTCTCATATCCACTTGGCTTACTGGAAGAAGACGTCACCCTGCTTTCATTTTACAGGGGTTTTCCTTGGCTTTGAGGGAGGCTTATGTGGGAATGTCAGCACCAAGACAGGGATGGGTTTTGTTCCTGAGAAGAGGATAGAGCTACTCCCCTGCAACGTTTAGGAACGCAGATAAGGAGAATCTTTTTTTTTTTTTCTGAGTGGACCTTAACAAGCTGCAGGAATCAAGCAGCTTTCACGCCAAGAACTTCTGGAAGAAAACTCTACTTGAGTTCAGTTTCTTTGTCGAGGTGATAATGGCGCCTTTTAAACTAGTCTAACACAAAATAGTCTTCTGACAAGAGAGCCGTGCTGCTGTTTGTTAGTAGGAAGTGAGAACCTAATCCCAACCAAGCAGTAAAGACTCAGTAGTCTTTGGTACCAAACTTTTCTCCAAGCGAGGTAGAGTGTAGGATGAAGAGCACTGTGTAAGCGAAACAGCTAACTTGGTTTACAGTCAGTATAGTTACTTTGGTTTTTTATACTCTTTCTTTGATAGTTTACAATAATTACTTCCCAAGAAATCAAATAAAATGAACATTTTGAAAATCATCCCTCCATTAAATTGTTATTGAAGCTTACAGACAGGAATGTTTGGGGGTGGGTTTGCCTTGATTGACAGATCAGAACGACATAAAGAATCTAGTCAATTTTCAAAACAAAATACCCCGTGCAGACTTCTGATAGTAAAAACAGACCAAAAAAAAGAAAATTTAAAGGAAAAATTACAAAAGCAACATAATATAAGCAAATAAACAAAATCAAGCAGGCAAAATGCTCTGTTTATGAAACACTCCTGTTGGGGTATGAAGACTGGGGTATGTGCGGAGGAAGACAACTAGTCTGAAAATGAAAAAACAATCTCTAAGTGTGAAGTTAGAAAGAAGTGACATTGATATCTTACCTGTGGGGTTTACTATCTCATAGCTCATCATACCTATAGCTTCACCCAACATTCAGTGTGTAACATTTAGGGGGATCTATGGGCAGAAATCGAATATCATATTGATAGGTCTGTTTTCATTAGTGAATAATCACCTGAATAAAGGAATCGTTGTGTTTTTGTTACCTTTAGAATGAGCCATTTTTGTCTACAGACACCGCAGGTCATCTTCCATGGATTCTGCCATTTGTGATGTCACAAATCATGCTGGTAGGCCTGCATGATTAAAATCAGATTTTGAGTGAGCACAGAGAAACTTTCCACTTTCAGCAGATGAATCTGAAAACATCCGTCTAGTGTCACAGACAGCATTCAAACAGCACACTGTAGGGACAAGAAGAAACACTGATTAATGACTGGAGGGGAGCTTTAAGCTCTGTTTCATTTGCAACATGAACTCAATACAAACAGTCGATATAGAGAAATGAAACAGTAAACACTTAAACTCCTCTTTCATTATGGCTGACATTCCTTTCATGTTTATTTTCCTGCTTTCTCAAAAACTATTTTATAAATACACATTGTGGTTTTATTACTGGAAGCGTCCAGAGCCGCAGGGTGGGTCATATGGGTTTTCCTTTAACACAAGCACTTGAACTTTGACCTTCCAGCCTGTGGAGTGGGAAACACCCAAGTGAAAAACAGTGAAAAAAAAA